GGCATTGTACACCCATTCTAAGAATGGCAGTCTTGATGGCGTCCAAATGGCAGTCTTGATGGCGTCTCGGAGCCCTCGTGGAAGCGCCTTGGGCCGTTTTGGGAGTTCCCTGTCGTTTTCGCCAGTTTTTCCGAGGCGATCTGAAGCAGAACAGCCGCGGAAGCAAAGAACGTTGATCTTTCCAGGAGCACGACATGCTTGAGGCGTGTGCCGAGCTGAATCCTGGCGACCGCATGCGGACGCCTTCGCTGGAACTGTAGTTGGAGCCCCCTGGGGGGGGGATGGGGCACGTAACGTTGTGGTGTACGCGGTTGAGGACGCCCTTCTCGAACCTGTTGTTCGCGGTAGTTGATTGCTTGCAGGAAGAACTGCAGCATATTCCTCCCAGGCTGGGGATACCCGTTCCAATTCGCGTATGTTCGTCTCAGAACCATGAAGCACGATCGCTCACATTGAATATCTAATGACAGTATGCCAGAGTCCAGGTATCGCCTCACTTCACCCTTGCCATATAGTTATTTTCGGAACACATGTGTTGACGAGCGCTTTCTTTCAAATGCTGCACGGGGCACGTGTGCGCGCTGCCGTGTGCGCGTGGCAAAATCAGTCAGAACCAGCATTGTCCATACCTTTTTTTAGACATAGTAAACATGGACGGTCAAGATATTACCACCGTCACCGACATCCTGAATCACCCTTTCATGGTGGATGTTTCCTGATGCCCGCGCCCAGGTTCTTAATATCATAACAGAACGGGTGTAGCTGCGAGTGGAGATATAAGTTGACATGCGAGCAGGTGTTCATCGTCATGACTTGTTAGTTTGACGTGTGCGCAACGATGCCTTGCAATAGCTATTATCTGTACATATCTATACACACACGTTTTCACATACCCACACAGTGCTTGTACTTGGGGTCTGGTGGCTATGTAGTCGCCGTCGCCGCCCTGTCGCTGCCTCGTGACCTTGGGTGTCGCTCTGGCGGCTATGTAGTTGCCGTCCTCGCCACGTCGCCGCCTCGTCGCCTGGTGCGTCGCTCTGGCGGCTATGCAGTCGCCGTCGCCGCCCTGTCGCCGTGTCGTCGCCAGGTGTGTCGCTCTGGCGGCTATGCAGTCGCCGTCCCCGCCCCGTCGTCGCTTTGCCGCCGCCCGACAAGGATTGCCCCGATTGGATTGCAGCTCGTGGGTAACACAGCACATATCATCCCTCTTACATGAGTATTGAGATCCCCCCCCGTGTTTAACCGCCTCATTTTTTGGTCGTGTTGCAAGTTGCATATGTTTCTGCCCCATCGTCCATCCTAAGTATGAATTCGCACCATCGCAGCCAGTCTGGTATCGACACCCCCATTCATCCCTTGCAAAAAAACACTGTGCGTTCGCACTCGCCTATCACACATGATCAGTTTTCAGGAATGTCTTTGAACTGCATGGGGCGAAGTGTACACGCGTGGATCGTCGCGCGCGTGAGCCGAAATCTCAAAACCCGTAGGCTTCGTAAGGATGTCAAAATGGAGTGTCCCGAACACATCTAAAAAACACTTGGCGTTGGCACGGCAGTTTTTAAACATGCCTGCGCTCGCGCTCCTGCGAATTCCAAAAAACACCATCGGTCTTTCAGTGTGTTCATTACATGATGCAAATTGGGCCCCTCGCGCCGCACGTCGAAATCATTCGAACGTCCTTGCGCGTGTGCTGGGGGGGGGCACGGCCCGTGTCAAAGAACACCATGCGGGCCATGTCGGACTCCCTCCAAAACCTTCTTCACCGAAGCGAGGGTGCCGTCATCGTCGTCGGCGTGGTCAGCATCGGCGCCGTCACTGGCCTTGCCGTCATCGTTGTCACCATCGCCACCAGCATCGCTACCATGATCATCGCGTCTATCGTTGCCGACGGTGCCATGAAACCACGCCCGCCCGAATCACCGACTCGCACAGAAGTGCCCGTTGGGAAGTGCCCAGCGGTCAGCGCCACCGCGGCCGCGTCGGTAGCGCCAAACGATCTGGCCGCTGCGCGCGCGAGCGTGCACGGGCTAGCGCGGTCGCAGAGATGCACCAGCCAATTCCACGCACTTATCGCAATCGCCGCCGCATGGGTCTTGCAAGCCCGGTTGCGGGTTGGTGAGTGGGGTGATTGCGCGAGCAGTGGAGTGGAAAACCCATTGCGAACATGAATGGGTTGTCTTTTCTAAGCAGAGAATAGATCACCACCAGGATTATCGCCCCCACCAACTTCGTATTGCATTTTACAAATGATCTTGCCCCATCGTCCATCCTAAGTGTGACTGCGTACCATCCCGGCCAGGCCGGTCTCGAAAACGTGACGAAGTGCACACGCGCGTGCCGACGCGCGCGCATGTCGGAATATTTACATGATCTTTCGGTTTCGTAGCGATTTCAAAACCGATTGTCCAAAAACACATACAACACATGGTATCGCAACACTGATGTTCAACAAAAGCTTGCGCGCGCAATTGCGAAATCTTAAGACAACCGTTGTTTTTTGCATCGTGTTCAAAAAATGCTACCCTACGGGCCTCCCGCGCGCGTGTCGAAATCGTTCGATCGCTTTTGCGCGCGTGTCGTCGCGAGAGACCTCTGCAGATAACGTGAAGAAGTGCTCGCGCACGCATCGTCGCGCGCGCATGCCGAAATCCGTCAAAACCCCTCGGTCTCGTAGCGATGTCAAAACCGAGTGTGTAAAACAAACCAAAACACAGGCTTTCGCAACAGTGGTTTTCAACAAAAGTTTGCGCGCGCTCTTGCGAATGGTTTAGAAAACCATAGGCTGTTTCCCATACTTTTCAGGATATGCTACCAAACGGACTTGCGCGCGCGTGTCGAAATCGTTCGAACGCCATAGCAAGCGTGCCGTCGCTAGAACCTTATTCAAAAACGCGATGCAGTGCACACGCGCGCGTCGTCGCGCGCGCATGCCGGAATTTGTCAAAGGCCTTCATTGCGTAACGATTCCAAAACCGGGTGTTCAAAACAACGAATTTGGCACGGCTTCGCAACATCGATGTTCAAACAAGCGTGCGTCGCGCTTCTGCTACTTCTTAGGAAGTCATAGGTCCCCCAACATGTTCATGGGATTCTGCCAAACGGGCTTCGCGCGCGCATGCCTAGATCATTGGCGCGCCCTTGCGCGCATGTTGGGGGCACGATCCGTATCAACTGATACCATGCGGGCCACTGTCGCACGTCGGCCGCGCGCGCATGCCGAACTCTTTCCAAAACCGTCATCACCGACGCGAGGACGCCGTCATCGTCGTCGGCGCGATCAGCATCTGCCCCGTCAGTTGCCGTGTCGTCGTCGCTGTCAGCTTCGTCGCCGTGTCTGCCGCTGCCGACGTTGCCATGATACCGCGCCCGCCCAAGTCGCCGACTCGCACTGAAGTGCCCGCTGGGATGTGCCCAGCGGTCAGCGTCACCGCGGCTGCGTCGGTCGCGCCAAAGTAGCTAGCCGCTGCGCACGCGTGCATGCGCGGGTTGTCGCGGCCGCAGAGATGCACCAGCCAATTCCGCGCACTTATCGCAATCGCCGCCGCATGGGGTTTGCAAGCCAAGTTGTGGGTGGGTGGGTGGGATGTTTGCGCGAGCAGTGGAGTGGACAACCTAAAAATGAGCACTGGTGGATAGCACCACTCAGGTTGCACTGTAGACTGCACCACGTAGCCACGTAGGGTACACCGCACAGAGCTCATTATCCGCACCGTTCAAGTCACATCGATTGCGCCACAGACGTTGTACCAGAGAGAATGCACCACGCAAGCTGCACAACATATATTGCACAGTATAGTTTGAATCACATATTGCACACTGATACGTTGCATTGCAGTGTATACGGCGTACAGTTTGAGACCACCGGGATTGCACCTCACAGGTTGCACCACAGATATTGCACTTCGTACATTGCATCACATGGGTTGTTCCACGTAGGTTGTACAGCATAGGCTGCACCACGTACACTGCGCAGCATGGATTGCAACACGTATCTAGCACCACATCGACGGCAGATGTGCTGTAGCACCGCCGCAAGTGCACCACATACATTGCACAACGTAGGATGCCCAATTTAGGTTACAACGCATAGACTGCGCCACGTAGATCGCACAACACATGTTGTGCAGCACCAATTGATCAACATAGAGTGTACCACGTGGATTGCACCACCTAGATTGAAGCATATATGTTCCGCCACATATCGTGCTGGGAACGCACGGTTTGGGGTCCACGTTGGCGACGAGTTTTTTGTATGTTAGCCAGCGTGGACCCAAACCATGTGTTGTTTTGCAAACAAGGTGGGGCAAACATATCAGTGCAATCTATGCGGTGCATGGGCCGACGGTGGGATACATGGTGAAGTCGATTGGTTGAGGCGTTGATTCCTTCCCCCCACTACAACTTCATTGCCACCCGAAGGGTAGTCGTAAAGATGCATATACACATTGCAACCCACAGCTTCCATCACCGAACTTGAACCACACAGAATGCACCACATGGATGAGTTCACGTAAATTTCCTCACATATGTTGGGCTGTATATAGTGTAGCAAGTCGAGAGCCCATCCAGTGTGTAGCATATCGAGAGCATACCACGCTGGCATTAACACTGAGCGCGGCAACGAAGAAACCCTACGCGCAAGCATCGTTCTGGAAATTGTCAGCAACAATCGACCCATGCAAACGAGTGTTTTCGGACATTGGGGTGAATACGGTTTCGCACCGCACGGGCAAGGAATCTCCCCCCCGCGGGTTCGGAGTTTGAGTATATCACTCTTGGACTTTTGCCCCCGTGCTCAATTTCCTCAGTTGCCCCTCTTCCGCCCCCTCATCACTCTCATCTTGGTTGTCATATGGTTCATCTTATCTTCTTTTTTGTCCCTCAGGTTCCTCGTTCTTTTCCGCCTCGTTTTGACTGTCCTCCGCCTGTCCTGGCTCGTCTACGTTCCCCCCTCATTGCCCTTCTCCCTGCTGCGCCCCCGTCCTGTCGCGCTCTTGGAGGAAGCGGGCCGGAGTCCGCCTGGAGACCAGCATGGTCGCGCCGCGCATGACGATCCCGAAGGCTCCCGGGGAACACCCAGGCATTGATCTCCGCCAGCTCAAACATAGACGGTCAGGAGCGTTTTGTGAGCGTGTCGCGCCGTATGTTCTTGATCACAGGGCTTCCGGCACGCTGACCACTTCCAAATTCATAAGCCTCAGCGTCCCGAGCCTTTCCAAGCCTCCCACCCCGTGAAGCGGAGCAACACGCTATCTGCTAGCAAGGCATGGTGTGTCGCCGCGGCCACCGCGACACGCTATGCAAAATATCCTGGCCGCAGCGGAGGAAGAGCCACCAAATAATGGTCCCACATCCCTCTTCGGGCACCGTCCTGGCTCGTGCTCCGAGCCGCAGACCCAGCCCTGACCGACCATCCCTGGGAGGAGGGTCGCAGACTTCCGCCTCTTCTCCGTGGGGGAGCCCTGGCCTTCTTTTCGGGGACAGCGTGGGGGGGGGATCTTCTGAGCACGTGCCTCAAGAGTTTTGGGTGGCCGATGGTCTGGGGAGGGGCCCAGTACTCCGAGGGGGGGGCCCTCCGGTCCAGGGAGGAGGGTCCCTGTAGTCCGAGGGGGGGCCCTTGTAATCCGGGGGGGAGGGGCCCTCGTAGTCTGGGGGGGGGGCCCGGCCCTTGCAAACTAGGGGGACGGTCCTGTAGTCCAGCGGGGTGATGCGCTTTATCTCTGTGGTTATTCACGTGCCTGAAGTCTGGGTGTGGGGTGTGGGCCCTTCTAGTCCGGGGGGGGTCCCCGTAGTCTGGAGAGGGGCCCTTGTAGTCTGGGGGGGGGGCCTTTGTAGTCCGGGGGGGTCCCGTCCAGGGTATGGGCCTTTGTAGTCCGCGAGGCCCCATGCAGTCAGGGGGCCCAAAACTATTCAGGAACTCAGAGTAGGCTCAAGTGGGACGCATCGACCCCAAATCATTGATTGATCGCCGACAGGGGCCCGATAGCCCACTCGACCCAGGAACCTGCGTTTTCGCTGTTGGGTGCCTATCGCCGACATATCTGACGGGTCGCCGATTCCAGGTCGATGTTCCCGCCCCTGAACAGGGGAGGAGGAGGAGGAGGAGGAGGAGGAGGAGGAGGAGGAGGAGATCCGTAGCCATTTTGGCTCAAGCCATTTTGGCTCACGCCTCCATGGGCGTACCTCCCCGTGGGAGTCCCACTCAACCTCTGCTCAAAGCGGAGGCTGGACTCAGGGGAGGGTAGGGGCCCTTCGATCCCGCGCGCCATCGAGATTGGGAGTGTCAGAGTATGGGCCCCGATGGAGGCGCCACAGGCTATGGGCAGAGCAATATTGTTTGTCTGAATTGCAAATGCCGCAAGGATATTCCTCACTACACCCGGTGCTACCACTATAAGATGCCCCTTCCCCCGTCTGAACACAAGCATGGGGAATGGAGGGGTTGGCAGTGGTGGGGCCGTGGTGGTGGAGGAGGTTGGAGATGATGGAACAAGAAGTTGTAAACAGGTCATGAACTGTTGCATCGATTGTTCCACGGAGTGTGCCAGGGAAGTGGCAAGGTGGAAGACCTGGCCCCAGACGCTGCGGCCCTGCTGCAGCAGGCCTGGCAACACCAGCAGCAGCATCGTGAGAACATCCGTGACCCCTCCACAGCCCTCGGGAGGGCGGAGCAGGAGCTCGAGAGGGCTGTCGGGAACGTGGAGCAAGTGCGGGGTCCCATCCTCCAGGTGGAGTCGGAGATCGAAGAGCTGCTCGTGCGCCGCCAAGACCTCGCCCGACAGCTCCAGGAGGAGGAGCTCGGCAAGGCCGCCTCCCAGCGCGCCCACGACCAGGCCCTGGCCAGGTACCAGGCAGGCAAGGCAGGCATGGGAGGAGGACGCGGAGGCGGAGATGCACCGGGAGGAGAGAGCGCGTTCGTCCAGCAGTAGCTCGATGCCCTCAAGGCTGCAGTCGCGGGGGCGGCCGACCCCCAGGCCCAGCAGGCGATCGAGGCTCGCTACAACGCCCTCCCGGAGTCCCCACCCGCAGCAGCCCCTGCAGCCGATGCAGCAGGTGGCGGAGGCGCAGGAGGCCCAGGAGCAGGGAGGAGAATCAGCAGCGGGTGGAGCAAGCGACCCCACCGGGAGCAACCCCTTCGTTTCTGGGGCACCCAGTTTCTCGAGGCCCGTGGATGCCGCAGGAGTGGCCCAGAACAGCCCATTCGCGGTTTTGGAGGAGGACCCTATGGACGAGAAGCCACTCGTTTGGGGTCTTCTGAGCAGATCGACAGTCTGGAGCCCGCAGTACGTCAGCAATCTGCCACGGCGGTCCAGAAGAGCTTTCTCAAGCGAGCGTCGAAGCTGGTCCCCAAAAGGCGGGGGGCGCAGGGCACAGGACGAAGGCCGAGCGCCGCCTCCAGCAGCAGCAGCAGGCTCTGGGGGAGCATCTGCACCCCCCTGGAGGTGGGGTAGCCCTCGGAACCCATCCCATCCAAAAGGACCCTCAGGTAGTGATCGCCACTCTGAACGGCACATGCTGGAGGAATGCTGGGAGCTATCTATCTATCGCTACAAGTACTAGTGTCTTCATCCAGGGGCATAGGTTGCTTCCTCGACGGTGTTGCAACGTTCGTTCCAGCCTGATTCAGAAGGGTTGCAAAGTTTTCGGGAGACCCGCCGAGTCCACACCAGGTGGCACTCCGGGGGGCGTCCTCATCGCAGGACGGGGCCAACTCGACCCCTTCCTGCCGCCGCGTCAGTCTGCAGAGCTCGTTCCTGGTCGTGACACTCGCTGTTTTCTGAGGACCCGATCGTATGGTGGGCTTGCAGTGCATTCGTGCTGCTTCCGGAACCTCCAAATCCTCGATACTTTGGCCAATGATTTGTTTGACCAGGCTTATCCGTTTATTGCCGGTGGGGACTAGAACATGGACCCACGTGAACTAGATTCTGCCGGTCCGATTGGCCGTTTGGATGCTGTCCTCAGAAGTGTGACGGGCCCAACGTATGTCTCGGGAACGGATCAAATTAAGGTTGATTGTTTTGTCTTATCGTCTTTGGTCTCGTTTGCAGTGGCAGATCCATCCTTGGATTCCCTGGCCCCGTCGGGCCAGCACCAGCCAGTCTCGTCATCCCTGACGGTGGACACCCAGGACACAAAGGTTACAGTTCCGCTCAAATCTATCCCAGTTCCTCCAGACCCTGGTATCATACCTGGTATCGGCCCCATCCAGTTCCATGATAGCGAACAGGACTACGTTGATTTGGGAGCTCGCTTGGGCGAGTACCTGGAACAGCTGAGAGGAGAGGATGGTAAGCTGTACTCAGTTACGGGCGGCGGTACATGAAGAGAGACAGGAGAGGCTCTGCTCAACCAGGTCTGCCAGGACTGGATGGGTAAAGCATGGGATGAAACCCTCAAGTAAACCATCACACCCACCAAGGGCCCTCGTGGAGGCTCAGGAATTCACGTGGTGACGGTTTCCCTCTCCTCCCTCCTTCGGACCCGCTCCAACGCGAAACACGACTCCCACGGGGCATTGGGTTGGTTAGTTTTGAGGTTCCATGAAGTTCAGGGCCTTGCAGGAAAGCTGTCTGCAGGACCCAGTGCGCCTTGACCGTCAAGGGCCTCCCGTGCGCCGGGAACGTCCATCACTTCTCGGACGGCATTGGCTGGGCTTCTTCGGGTTCCGGTGCGCCTCGAACGTCATGGCGGCCCTTTTCAGGTCCACTGGCCCCAGCATATGGGTTTCTGGCACGACCTAACCGCAACGGTAGCAACAGGATGTCGAGCTTATCTGGGTAGGAGCGCTTGGGGCCTTTTGATCCAGCAGTCGCGAGAGTTCATAGAATTTGTCAAGCTTTTTGCGTCGACGGCCCTTCCTAAACCCGAGACCTTCCAGCGGCAGTCATGGAGGGAATGGTGCGACCAGGCTCTTGATACAGCCTCTGGCAAAGGTATTTTCAGGCACCTCCGTGAGAAGCCCAATCTGGAGGTTAAGATCACGGAAGGTCCTGGGGGCTACACTTCTGTATTTTCAGGTCATTTTGATGACCAATATCAGCATTGGCTCCGCACGTGGAAAGCCAGCCTGCCCTAACCCGTTGGAGATGCCGCCCTGGACCTCCCGTCGATGGAAATCCCAGAGGCCGAAGATCCAGAGGTCGTCGCAGCGGTCTCCAGGGCTTTCAAGGAAAACGCGTGCCAGCCAGATAAGGTGCACCCCAGACACTATTCACTGGGCCTAAACATACCCTTGCCCGGAGTCGGCCTGGGTGAAGGGCCGTCCGCTGGATTGGGCGCTTGCCGCTGCGCCCGATCAGCTTGCCGCGTGCGCGCTGTTTTTTTTTGTTCTTCAGCATCCGCGCGTCAGGACGCAACGACGCGCTGAACGGCTGGTTGTTTGATTGCAGCGACATGCCCTGGTTTGCGTCAGGGACGCCTGGGGGCATCGGGGGTGTCCGCGTGGTTTAGAACAGCAGTGGAGTGGTGGTGCCGTTCCCACCTCGGGACGGGCACTACCACTCCGTTGCGTTTGGGCCTGCCCGCTGGAGCGTGGTTGCAATCTCACGCTCCCCTGGGGGCCGCTGCGGCCGCGTTCGGGGGCGCTCTCGGGAGCCGCGCGCGCGCCCGAGATCGATTTCAACCAATCGCCACCTCGACTAGGTACGGGCACACGTCCGGGGGCACCGTCAACGCGCGTCGGCGACTGTGCCCCCCGACACATACCCGGACCTAGCTGGGGTGACGCCAGGCGGGTTTTCCAGGGAGCAGCCCCTGGTGACCGCGCCTGGCGTTCGGGGCCCCAGGCGTTTGGGCCGAGCGCGGGATGGCACCGGCGCCCGCCCAGGACACCCAGGACGCATTTTGCGCGTCGAGCCCCGGACGCTTGATTGCGCGCCTTCGTGGGCGCACCTCCGAGCGAGCTACTAGCCCGAGAGCGGCCAATGCGCGGTCGGCCGCTCTGCCGATTGGAACGCGCGCGCCTCGGTGCAGCTGATGCCCAGAGAAGGCACTGTCCTGTAATGTTACATGAACCGTCGCATCTGCACTTGTGCAACCGCCGTCGGCTGCGGCGCGTC